TGAAGGAAAACAAGTCCTGTCTGGAGATGGTACCAGTGGGAGGGGAGGAGGACATAAGAAAAGGGCGTAGGAGGGCGAATATGGTAGAAATATTATGAAAATGGAACAATGAGACCTGTTGGACTTACTCTAAGAAGGAGGGGTGGGGAGATAAAGGAGAATGAGAAAAATTTTAAAATTAAAAAACTATATACTTTAAAGTCAAAAACAGAAATTACATGCTTAGTTGATACAACTTTAACCTCTTTTAATCACTTAGTAGATTTTGAGTTTGCTACCATTAGTGGTAAGTAAGTACAACACTGTATTTAGTATAGAAGCCAAATAAAAGGGGCTTTTCCCAATAGTACAATGTTTATTTGTGGATAAAGTGCCAGATTTATTTACAAACTAGTCAAGTAAACTTTAAGTCCACTTTAAAGCTGTGAGGCTGACATCTTTCAACTACCATATAGTAGTAACTGAATCTTTAATTTGCTGGCTTGAGGATCACCCCACTGTTAGGACTTTGGTGAAATCATAGCCAGTCTATAAAAGCCAACAAGGGCAAGATCTTCCATAAGAATCTAAGTAGCTTTTGTTTTAAATATCCTTTTCCTTTCTAAGTGACACCATTAGCATTATTAATAAACAGGATTAATCTTGAGGAAGCTACATAGTTTTACAGATGTAATGAACCTTATGACAACTCATGGTGTAGTTGGTTGATTCACTTTAGCTGATTTTTTTGGAGGGGAGGGGGAATTAGCAAATTCAGAGCACATTTTCAATTCATTTAGAAGTCAGCATCCAAGGTAAAAAAAAGAATTCTCTGTTGAACTCCACATCACTTCCATCCTCTGATACTGGCCTATTGTCATATCAAGGAAGTTAGTTGTTCCTTCCAGCGATATATTCTCCATGAAGTCAAACGGATTTTCTACTCTGAAAACTTTGCTAAAATCCAGCTCCGCAATAAGCTGGTTGCCACGAATTCAGTTCATCCCAATAAGCTTCACAGACAAGGCCTTGTGAGGAACTCCTGTTCTAAGAGCATGAATATTTATGTCTTTTATTCTCTCCTCTGAAAGTTTGTGTAGAAGGTGTTTGAATATCAGGCAGGCAAAGTCACAAGGTAAAAACCTCATCTCTGCTAATAAGATCATTGGAAAATGTGTGGCCAGGTTCAGTCCTCATTTCTTGAGCCAGAATATTAATGCAAAAGAACCATAAAAGATTTTTTCCACAGTGCAAAGGCCACAACACATACAGAGGTACTCTTTTTGTCCCCAATCCAATGCAAGTCCCAATCTGCCTTCTTCACACAAGGCATTTTTCTTGGCATTGAAGAGAAATTCCTTTTCTTTGTAATCTGTAGTATGTCAGTATGAGATGATTGTACATTTCAGAATGTATGTTTTCTATGGTGATTTGGAAGCCACAGATACAGCATGCTTCTGTAATTTGCACTTCTTGACTAAATTTTTCCACCAAATTTCCTTTTACTATGCTAACACTCACTGCAAAGAAAACCAGAACATGAGATATAAAATATCTCTCCTCAAACTTAAAGACTCTCCTATGCTGACTGTGCAGTCCAAAAGGAAGCCTTGGCTTTCTTATACATCTGCCAAATACCGTGGTATTCCATAAGTAAGAGGACAAAGTCATGGGGATTTTCTTTCAGTAGTGGCTGGTCCTCCAGGCTGGGGATAAGTGTGTTAGTTTTCATTTCAGCAGGCTCCTGGAAATTCCTCCTCACAGTCTTGCTAGTCAGAACTTGTGTTCTCCTTGTTCACCAGGCTGAGTTCCTTTAGCAGCAAAAGCTACAAGTGCTGCTTGTCAGTAATGGTGGCCAGCAGGATGTGGATGGAGAGCATGATGGTGGCACAGTGGTAGCAGCGGTGGCAATGTCTGAAGCAGCAGCAGCTGGGATCCAGGTGAACTCCTGCTGCTTTATTTCTACTTTCCCAAATCTTATGCTTGTTCTGGCCAATCTTACAGAGAAGATGACTAGGGGAAGTATAGTTTACAGTTTAAACTAAGTTGACAGTAGCCAACACTAAAACTGGAAATAACCCAAATATCCATCAACAGAAGAATGGCTAAATAAACTGTGGCATGTTTGTGTAGTGAATTCTACCAAACAATGAGGGAAAATCTCATTACAGCTAACATATGGATGAATCTCACAGATATAGTGTTGAGTAACAGAACTCAAACACAAAGAATGCAAACAGGAAGAAATGACCCAAATATTGTATACACATATGAATAAAAGAAAATAAAAAAAAGATGCAAACAGTATTATTCTATGTATATGAAGTTCAGAATAGTCAAAAAAATTTATGATGATGGAGGTCAGAACATGTTTATCTTGAGGGAGGAAGGTTTGAATAGGAGACAGAAGGGAAGATAATGGGTATTAGTTTCTGAAGATATTCCAACGTTAAAGTACTAAATTTTTAAACCTTATCCAGGTTGTGGTTATGTGAGTTATTTATATATATGTAAAAATTAATGGAGTTTTAACTTGAAATTTGTGAATTTTATTACAAATTATATTTAATTTAAAAAGCTCATGAACAAAATTAATAAGAAAAATATTTGTGACAGAGGATGGCAGAATGTTGATATCAATACTATGTAAGTAGATCTTACAAATTTCTAAGAAGGGAACACTCAATGGAAAAATGGGCAAAGGAAACGAGTAGGCAACCCCAAAAATTACAAAAGCATTACTTTTGACTCAGCAGTCTCACCTCTGGAAGTTTATCCTACATACAGATATATTTAACTGATATACAATGTTATTATTATAGTATTATTTATAATAGCAAAATGCCAAACCTGAATATATATCAGTCAAGGACTAGTTAAGTGAATTGTATTTGTATTCAGTGTTTCCCAAATTCCTGGCATAAGAATCACTAGAGGTGCTTTTAAAAACACAGGTTCTTAGGCTGTGTGTGTGTGTGTGTGTGTGTGTGTGTGTGTGCATGTGCATACATATAACACTAAATGATTCTCATCATCAAGAAAGTTTAGTTTACATAGGACAAAATCAAAATTAAGATTCCTTCCATCTCTTATATTATTTGATTCTATGGATGCTATCATTCTATTGTCATAATCAAAAGAAAAATTTCACCTAAATGAAGAAGTGTGTCCATACTCTAAATTTTGGTTTTTGTGATACCTATGAGCACAAATGAATTGGTTCATTGCATACAGGTGCTATTCCATCTGCTCTGCCGGATTAAATGCCATTCAAGAGGTACAAGACCAGTGCAAGGAAGCCACTGACATAGATCTTCAAGGTTTTTGTGCTTCTACTAGTTAACTTGACTAGTAACTTTTGACTGTTTATTTATTTTAATCCAACTAGGTCAGAAAAGGAAAACTTCCTAAAAGAACAATACAGATTAATTATTAATGCTACAGTCAGAAATGAAGCTGGACTATTCTTTGGGTAAAGGTTGGTAGGAGAGAATGGAAATGAGGAGTATAATAGAAACCGAGAAAACATGGCCAAAGTCTGAGTTAAAGATTAGGGAAGTAAAGGCCTTATTTGTTGTTAAATTATTGAAGGAGATAATGTAAAAAAAAATTGCAAAGGATAGAGTCATAGGTTTCTCTCGTATTCTGAAACAAAATAATTTATTTTAATGCTGCCTGACCTTCATGGTTTCGTCGTCATGGACTAAACCTCCTGGTTTAGTAAATTTCTTATATACCTCTTGGCAATTCTTCCCTCTTTTTGACTGGCAATGGAGGGGTGCCATGTTCTTTTGTTCTTCTTTTACCTCTTTGACCTAGCAAAAATAATACAGCAGGAAGAATAAGAGGGAGTAATAAGGGGTGAATATGATCAAAGTATATTATATGCATGTATTAAAATGTCCTAATGAACCCCATTATTTTGTGCAAATAATATATGGTAATAAAAAAATTGAAAAAAATGTAGTATAAAATGAATTTTTTGTTATCATGTTTGTCTTCGTTCCTCTTCTGATAAGAACTAACCATGATATTCTGGAGTCCTTGGGAGTCTGGCCACTGAAAATGATGGAAAATGATATTTACAACAACAGTACCTGGAAAGTAACCGGTTCATGCTTTTCCTTCAAATTAAATTTTACTTTTTAATGAAAAAATGGATTCATCTTGAAGCAAGAAAATGAAAACACAAGGAGTGACTTTAGCAAAGTCATCAACCCTTTTCTCTTATTTTCTTTAGCCCTGCCTTTTAAATTGTTTATAGGATTTTTCTACCTGAACCTTATAATGTTGAAAAACAAAATCAGTATCTGTTTTGGTTCTCAAATTCAGTTTGACTTTCCCTCTTCAAAGCCCTTCAGTTTTCTTACATTCCTACATTTCCACTTAGTTTCAATACCTGAATAATGGAAATAGCGCTGATACTAATCTCTACCTTTCCTATCTGTTATGGCATAGTGAAAATTCCAGATCTGCCACTTACTGGTCATGTGATTTTAGATAAATTACTTAACCTTTTAGAACATTAGTTTCTGTAAAATAGGGATAGTAGTAAGAATTAAAACCAATAAATATATAGGTCATATATATAATATATACGTACATACATACATACATATAATATGTGTAATTCATATGCATATTAACCTTGTACATAATAGGTGTTTAACCAATAGCAGTTATTATTATCCTGAAATCAGTTGCTTAATCTGTGCTCAGTTTGTTTGTTTGTTTTTTCATTGTTAAGGATCAAACCCAGGCCCTTACACATACTTGTGACGTGTTTTTCTTACTTCCCCATGCCTTTACCTTTTACACAATCATTCTTTAGAATTAGTACACCAGCCCTTTCTTTTCCTATAGCTTCGAGCTCTGCTCTGAGTCAGGCAGTTACTGAAACTGACACCCACAGGGTTAAACCTAGTTGCTGTAGCCACCCCTCCTCCCCCCAGTCCCCCTGTTCACTGAAGGCTGGCAGCTATCCTAACTGCCTACTGAAGCCAAATGCTTGAGGAGAGAGAGAGAGTAAGGAGCCAGCCATGAATACTTTCCAGAAAAATGAGTCCAAGGAAACTCTTTTTTCACCTGTCTCCATTGAAGAGGCACCGCCTAGACCTTCCAGCCCTCCAAAGAAACCAACTCCGGTGAGTCCCCAAATTCAGTTTGCCACTGACAGTAATAGCCTGTTCTTTTGGCTTTCTTCCTTTGCCTAGGGAACTTTGTGCTGAGTTGTATTAGGGTATAAAAGTGATTCTCTCTTTTATACCCTAATTTGTGTTTTTTAAGAATTCACCTGAAAACCAAACCTAAACAGAAGCTTCTTTTACTTAGGAGAAGAAGCAACAGGAAGAGGTGGAGTTCTTCATTTGGGACCACCAAGCATTCTTGTATTTAATTGCATATTCTGAATGTCCCTTTTTGGTGGCAGGGGGGTGAGAAATTTGAATGTCCAGGGAAACTTGGCAAGCATTCCTGTTTGGAGAACTGTGTGTGATTGTTCTTTCTTTACCAATACTAAAAAACTCACCCTCAGATCCCCCTGTGCACGGAGCTTCTTCTGGACACTAACAGAATAGACCTACTCTCTGTTACTAAGTGTACACTGGTGAGATCAGACAGAAAAACAAGGACTAATTCTTGCATTATATACTTGTTAAAGCACTTCCAAATCTATGATCTCATTCAAACCTCATATTAAATCCTGTAAGTACAGAGGTTATAGTAATAATAGCTAATATTTGCCAAGTTCTTACCATGAACCAAGAAGTAGTATTATTCTCATATTTGGAATAACAAAACTAAGATCCAGAAGCAGAAGTAGTGACATGGTCAGCTTCAGTATGTTAACACAGTCAGTGACAGTGTTACACAGCTGGTGACGGTATATTAACTAACTAACTCCAGGTTGTGTAGTTCTCAAGCTGTGAGTTGGGAAGGTAAGAAGCCCAGTTCATCACGTTGTTCAAGCAAGTTACTATTATACACTAATATTTAGGTGGGTTGTTTATACATCTACATGGTTAAAGAATGGATATATTATTTTATTATCTTTATTTCTTTAATTAATTATATCTTTTCTGGTCCCAAGGAATTTAAGGATCCTTACAAAGATGTATGTACTTATCAGATAAAAGGTGATATAAATCTCATGTTAACATTTGACTGCCTCAAGGGCAGATCATCTACACCCTTCCCCCATGTTAGTTGAAATATTGTAATGGGGGCAGGGATTTGAAATAAAATATTCTAACTGATATAGTACATGGAATAGCACAGTCTTTCTAATATCCGGGATTATCATGAGAATGTTATAGAATCTCTTTAGCAGGAAGAGTAGTCATTAATTTTTTAAGATGTTAGAATTCTTTGCCCAAAGTAAAGATGATTGATCAGTTTACCTTTAGGAATTTCTGCCTTCCATGTTGAGCGCTGTACCTGGCTCCAGCAGCCTCTGAGGAGGAAGCTATCATATTGCCAAGATTTCCCCCCAGAATGGTGAACAGGGCAGGTAGGGACAAAGGGAGATAGTCGCTACAATGGAACAAAGCAGGATACTGATATCTGAATTAATTGCCTGGATATCAGGTGCTCTGTAGACCATCTCTTCATTCTATTTCTAGCAATAAAATATGGTATCCTCTTGCCTAGAGCATCCAGATTTCCTTTAGTAGTTGTGGGAAGATGAGCAGGTCCTGATCAAGGAATGTCTGAGCAGTTCTATGTTAAATGAGGAGCAAAATAATATTCAGATTAGCTTCTTTTATGCCTGAGTTATCAGCATAAGCCCTTTCAGTGTGATAATAGCTGTTTCATGAAGAGTAGAGATCATTGTTTCATATTACCTACTATAGAGATTTAAGATAAATTAATTTCGCCCGACTTAGTGGTACATACCTATAATTCCAGCTACTTGGGAGGCAGACATTAGGAGGATTGCAGATTGAGACCAGTCCAGGCAAAAAGCAAGTCCCTATCTGGAAAAAATAATTAAAGCAAAAAAGACTGGGGGTATGACCCAGCTAAATTCTTTTTTATTCTGTTTATTATTTTTTATTGGGCAGTACTATCTAGCAAGCGTGAGTCTCTGAGTTCAAAACTCCAATACTGCCCAATAAAAAATAATAAATAGAGTAAAAAAGAATTTAGCTGGATATGATGGTATATGCCCATAATCCCAGCCACTTGGGGGGTTGAGGCAGAAGGATCAAGAATTGGAGGCCAGCCTGGACAACATGAGACCCCCCCCACCTCAAAAACAGTTAATTAAATTAAATAAATGAAATTTTCAGTTGTGGAGCAACCTAGTGGTTGAAACAGCAAAACAGCTCATGCTTGAACTATTGCCTTTCTGTTGCATAGAAAATCTGTGGCTCCAGCTATCCACTGAGCATTGCCTTCATTGTGGTGAATGAATTCTGCGAGCGCTTTTCCTATTATGGCATGAAAGGTAATTTTGTGACCTAGAATCGTCTCCATTCACTCTTATCCCATGTTTGTAGCAGCCTGGTCTGCTCATATGTGCTTGTTTCACTTATGCATCCCTTCTGCCATGAAGCAAACTGGTCTTTTCCTTTGGCCAAAAGAGTAAATGCTTCCTGGGATTCCCCTTAATAGCTCATGCTGTCATGATCAGATAGGCCTGGTTGAACCAAAACACAACCTGTAAGAATATGGGTGGAAATGCTTTCACTGCACAAGTTCCATTCTTCATACCTGCTCATCAGACCTATGTACTATATTATTGCTGGGAAGGACAAGGAAGGCATTTTGAAAGCACCAGGTTAATCTTCATTTTTGGCTTAAATGATGCTAGGGAACACACAGACTGAAGGAAAGAGAATTGTGTTTGTACTTTCAGCATAGCCCCATCTATTCTCATAACTCCCACCAGCCCTGTTTCTACTGCCTGGCAGTCCACCCCTCAGTTACTTCACTGAAGTGCTGAAGTGAAACATTACCTTCAAAGCCAAGATTTTAATGCATCTACCTTGTTTTGTCTTCTGTTTTTTATTTTGTTTTGTTTTGTTTTCTCATCTCAGCTGTGCTGACCCTGTATTTCCTGTATTTCCTACATTGGAATGAAGACACCTCCACGTCTGTGTACCATGCCTTCAGCAGCCTCTGTTATTTCACTCCCATCCTCGGAGCAGCCATTGCTGACTCATGGTTGGGAAAATTCAAGTAAGAACAATGGGAGATCACATCTCCAGAAGTTTTACAGATTCAACATGTAGAAAGCTATCACTTCTGGTCTCTTGTCTCTGAGAAGAATATACTTATATCATACATGACTAATAAGAATCTAAGACTGACAGCACAGAAAACCTATTTCTTTCCATTGTCAGTTTTCCCAGTGTTTTCACAAGAGATCAAGAGTTTTTTTCCTTCAATTTTAGTCTTCCATTCTATACTTTAAGACCATATCCATTTTGACTTGCTACTTACCAACAAAATTTATAATTGTAGAGAATTTACTGTGCTTTATTCCTTTAGTATCTTCTTCTGCATCCTTCCTTTCTGTTCTTTTACCACCTCTGTTTCTCTTCGTAATCTCTTTCTGTAGTTTCTTTCTTAAGAATCTAAAAGTGTTTTCATGAGTTAGAACAATAATTCATTCAGTTCATCATCTTTTCAGCTCCTGAAAATAGCACTAAAAGACATATCATAGTATAATGTTATAGCTGTCCTCTAGAATAGTATCTTCATAGACTCAAGCACATTCCACTGAAAACCTGGTCATGTAGGACATAATGAATTATGTGGGCAAATAAAGCTTTTAGGGTCAAATATATTTGGAAAAATACTGGGCTGAACAAACCTAAAAATGTTTCCTTATCATGTAACTTCCTATAACCTTTAACAAGTTAATATGCACTATAAAATCTCCAAGACAGGTTATAAGATGCAGTTTTTCCTTAAATAGTTTGACCAAGAATATTTTTTCATACCTAACATAAATACTGGTTTATATCTTAATTTCACACACACACGTACACACACACCTTCCTAAAAGTGTTTAATCAACACCTAATGTATATCTTTAGAAACAATACAACACTAAACACAATTTCTTTTCTTTTCTTTTTATGCAGTACTGGAATTTGAACTCAGGGCTTCATACTTGCTAGGCAGGCACAAAACTACTTAAGCCACTCTATCTAAGTAGTTTCTTGGTTTAGAAGAGGAATGGTGAGTAGATGGTTGAGTTCTAAATTTGTGACATCTATAGTAGTAGTTACCAAGTTCATCCAGGTAGGGACTTTGTGAGGAATAAAAAGTATAAACTATGGTCTGGTTATTCAGTTGTAGAATAAAGACTCATTATAGATGATGTGGCAGTTTTATTTATTTTTAAAACAAATTCCTTTAAGATTGAATTAGTAAAACTTCTGGAATTGCTGAAAGATAGCTATTTTTGGAGGAAATTTAATAATCTCTGCTTGTATCTTCAACTCAATCCTTGTGAGATATTTTTGAAAGTTGATTTTTATTAAGGAATATATAGAGTACACAAATCCAAAAGTCTTAAGTGCACAACTTGATGATTTTTGCATGTTTATCACCAACACCTGAGTCATTCTCCCTGGAGTCTCGGTACAGTGGATTTCACCTCTCTTGCCTTCAAATTTATCTTCAGAGCCAGAGTCTTTTCCTAAACATAGAATCAGGTAAAATCTCTAATAACTTTAAACAAGGAAAAATCTTGACCTTTTTTCCTCTTTCTATTTACTACCATTGCCCCCAGTGTAAGAAAGAATCATCTGAATGTGTCACCTTCCTTTCTCATTTTTTATTATCACTTCTTACAGTAGAATAATAAAATGCAATGTAAGAGAATGCAATTAAATTCAATTTAATCTGATTCAATCTAAATGTTTATCAAATACCTTATACTTGTCCAAAGCATCATGGGACAGAATAAGATGAATTACGCATAATTCTTGCTTCATATATTTTAAGTTCAATACCTTTAGCACAGAACAGATTGTGGTAAGTACAATAAGAGATAGTATAAATCATCTCTCTCTGACTACTGATAATGATATTTTAAAATAAATTCCAATGGCCCTTTCTAAATTCTTATTCATTTTTATCATTTCAGTTGTTTATCACTCTTCTTGGAATGTCCTAGCCTTCTCCAACACCATATTCTCTTCACTTCTCTTTTTCTCCTTGTCCTTCTTTTCTTCATCCTCTTCCTTTCAAAACACCAGCGTTTTGAAATCAGGACATCCCACTTGCCAGGCAAGTGTTTTACCACTTCAGCCATACTCCCAGCCTTTATTTGCTTTATCTGTTTTTCAGATAGCGTCTTGCATTTTTGCCTGGGACCAGTTTGGGACCACAATCCTCCTACCTATGCCTCTTGCATAGTTGGGATTACAGGCGCATATCACCATGCCCAGCTTCTTTGTAGATGAGGTCTCTCATTAACTTTTCCCTTGGACTGGCCTCAAAACACAATCCTCCCAATATCTGCCTCCTGAGTAGGTAGAATTACAGATGTATACCCCCATACATGGCCCTTTAACTGTATTTTCTCATTCTCTTTCTTTTACATTTCTGGATTGTTCTTTAACTGCCTCCTCTTTTACTTTTGTTTATTTAACTCATTTCTGAATGTAAGCATTTCCCCCAGGTTACAAGTTTGACCCTCTTCCCTTTCTGCAGCTCCTTAAACTCTGTTATAACCTGGAATTCAAACTTTAGTACTTGTAACTGCATATCGACATTCACTTTGGCAGTCCTTTCTCTGATTTCTCTTTATCCCCTCATCCAAACAGTTATCAAATTCTACCAATTCTATATCTTTTTCCTACTACTGCTACATTAATCTTCCTAAAATAAATATCTGATCACATTACTACTAATTTTCTGGTGACTTAAATCATTGTCTACTAGTCTCACCCTAACTTTACTTTTTTGTGTTTATTGTCATGTTTCCTCTCCTTCAAGAATTTGGGAAGACCAGCAGGAGTGGGAAGGGGGACAAAAGAGGATAATAGGGGGGTGAATATGCTCAAAATACATTATATATTTCTATGAAAAGGTCATGATGAAACCCATTATTTTATCCAACTAATAAATGTTAATTTTAGAAAAAGAATGCCCACAAAAGAACAACTGAATACTAATTGTTTTTTTTTTTTTTTTGCTGTACTGGGGTTTGAACTCAGGGCCTTCACTTTGAGCCACTCCATCAGCCCTATTTTTGTGAAGGGTTTTTTGAGATAGGGTCCCAGAGAACTATTTGCCTGGGCTGGCTTCCAGCCATGATCCTCCTGATCTCTGCCTCCTGAGTAGCTAGGATTATAGTATGAGCCACCTGCACTGCCAGGCTCTAATTGTTTTGTGACAATAGCCAATGATATCTCTTCTACATCTGCTTACACTGTTTCTATTTCAGGAAATATCCCTCCTCCCCATCCTTCCATATCCAAATCCTTTAAGGTTTAGCTCAAATAGCACATATGCTATGGAGTGTTCTCTGCCCCCTTATTTTTCAGTACTAGCAGGAAGTAATCTTGCTAGTAATTACTTGTAAGTAGTCTTGGTAGTAATCCTCTGAATTCTTTTTTACCCTCACATAACATATATCGAACTCTATTTTAATTGTTTGTATGCAAATTTGAAATTTTCTTCTAAACATTGAAAGGACAAAGTCACTTATTACAGATTTGATCTACAGCACCTAGGACAGTGCTTTGTGCATTGCAAGCCTACAGCAAATACTTGAGTTAATATGTTTATTTATCCTCAGATTCTCAAATGTAGGCACATGACTAAGGATATGAAGATAAGTATGGACAGATACAAATATGACTTTTATTTTGTTGTTGACATTGTGTTTTGTTTTTTTTTAAATAACAAAATTCAGGTGACTTGATAGCTCTTTCAGAAAGAGAGAAAACAGATAACTCGTTCTCTTGCAGACATGTGTGTGTGTCATGTGTGCAAGTCCACATACACAAACAGAATGATAACAACACTTAGCTCTCCCTCCCACCACACTTTACTCCTGAATTTTTTAAGTGGGAACAGGATTCTCCTTTACAATCTTTAATTTGAACCTGCAGCCTTCTTTTCTTCACTAGCTAAGGAAAACAAGAATGATTTAAACATTTAACTATAAATTTTTCCCCAACTCACATGTGTTCTTTTGCCTTTCTTTCTCCCTCCCACCATCTCCCAACATTTCTCTCTTCTCCCATCCCACTGTGTTTGTGAGTGTGTGTGTGTGTGTGTGTGTGTGTGTGTGTGTGTGTGTGTACATTTTTCTAGGTGTTATCTTAGGAATGAAAAACATGTAACATTAGAAAGATTGTTCAAACCTTCAAGGGACAATTTTCTGAATTTAGTAAGCAACTACTAAAAAAAAAATCCTTTCTCTATTTACTATCCCAGAATCAAAGATGTGTAAAGAAGAAATGAGCACCCAGAAACTCTGACTCTTATATAAGGAAATTCCTATGCTGGAGAAAAGTGAGGCTTCCTTCAGAACTATGCATAGGAAAGATTAGCCAATAGGTACATAATTGAAAATGAAAATATTAACGTGCATATTGGCTTGTAATTACTATAAACATTTACTGAGAGGGTAACTATATGCTAAGATGCTATTTTAGTATCAAGTTGTTTTTGAGTAGAGAAAAATATTCACAGTTCCTAGTTTTTATATCCCTTGATCCATGCCTATTAGTCTGGGCTCTTGACCTTGGCAATCACCACTCTCTTGAAAGGGTTTTTGGATGTTCTTTCCACACTTTTCCTTTTGTTTGGTCAGAGCTAACCCTCTTTCCTTCTAGCCTGATCTCTTACTCCACCATCACTGCCTATACTTCTTAGTCTCTGCATATTCTTCTCAGGTCCTAAGCTCTTGTTAAAAATGGCTATGGCTTTTGATATTCTCATGGTGAAGTGAACTCTGTAACTTCTTCCTCTTTTCTTTTTTTTTACACTAACTTATTTGTGATAAAGCTAAAGGCATGCTGAGCTATGAATTCGAAGATAGAAGCTCTAGCAGAGCACGATGTTGCATGCCAGTTTATGCCCTCCCAGCACTATGGAAGCTGAGGTAGGAGGAGCTCTCTATGGGCTATCTAGTGAGAGACTCTCACAAAAAAAGAAAGAGAAAGAAAGAAAAAAGTGGAACTTCTAGACCTAATCCAACTGCAATACTAGTTAAAATATCACATATGTCACTTTGGAAATGTCTTTAACCTCTCTGGATTTCAGTTTCCTGATTTGTACAAGTTGAGGGATTGGTCAATTCTACCTAAAATAGTTTTGAATCCTAAAGATGGGATAATGATTATGTTTCAAATGCAGAATTTTCAAATCCCTCTTGACTTCTTTCTCCTGCTAAAGTTTCTGCCATTAGGTTCTTTTGTTATATCCTTCATGCTTAGACTATTTTCTTTGAGTCTTTTATCTAAAAGGTTGCCTGTTTACTTCCTAAACCACTTAAACTTCTTTCATTCATTCAGTTTAACAATTGAATACAGATCTGATCTTCCTACTCAGACTCTATTTGTTTTTCTGATGATCTAGCATAGATCATTTCTTTTGAGTTCAGATAGCTAGCCTTTTTTTTCAGTTCCTTTTTATTCCTTTTCTATTTGCTCTTTTTTTTTTTTTTGGTGTACTGGGTTTTGAACTCAGGGCCTCACACTTGCTAGGCAGGCACTCTACCACTTGAGCCACTCTACCAGCAGTTCTTTTTATTCCAATAAAGAGACCTTTTCTTCAAAGATGATATAAGGCCTGTTGGGAAAGCTTGCCCACTCTCCCATGATGTTAAGCCTTGGATTAGTCACTTACATTATGTACCCTTTAAGATTCTTCCCATAGAAAGCTGACTAATCTAGGAATACAGGTCAATTAAAATGAGGAATCTACAGCCTGAGATTTCTGGCATCTCTAACCTTTATTGTACTTTCATTTCATTCTTTATATTCCACATTAGCATAAAACATTTTAAAACCACAGATATAAACTATATAATTCCAAAGGTTCATTATAGCATTAACACTATTTAGATAGCAAAAGAATGCTGATGTGGTAATAAATATAAGAAGTATAAGTGGTAATGTGCTGTATGTCAATGTGTATATCTCTATATGTGTTCTTATTAGAATTCCTTACTCTTCTACTTCTGTTTTGCTAGTCAACTTTCTTAGAGAAACAACTCTGCAAGAAGTTTCTACCAACTGCATGATTTTTTTTTTTAATCATTGGACAGTCTGAGTTCCTGGTCCTTTCTCACTTTTGGTAATTTGTCCATAAGGAAACTACAGTGGACACTACAATTAACCCAAGTGTCCAACTTACCCAGGCTGAGCCTAGAAGCCTTTGCATCTCTATATATCTCTGTTTGTTTTGTTTTTTAAGAGAAAGTCCTTTTCATTAGCCATTAATGTTTTACTTGGAGTTCATCCTTGACCTCTCTTATTTCCTAGATCAAAAGGTATTTCTTAAGAAAAATACTTCAGGTCAAGGTATCCTGTTCTATTGACTTTACTCATTTAAAACATCATCATTCTTGCCATAAACCCACCCACTTCTTGTTATATCTGTCCAAAAGTAGGGGTGCTCTGTATACGTGTGGAACAAAGGCAAGGATAGATATGAAAAGAAAACTTGAAGAAAATGTCTGTTGCTTCCAAGTAAACACTGCAGGGTGAAGAACTGCACTCCCTTTTCATAGTCTGTTTACCACATTCACTATTGTTTTTATTTGTGTTTCTCAGTTAACTCTTTCTCCACTCCCTTCTCTTCCTCCACTATTTACCGAGAACAGTGTGAATCCCAAGTCTGTATATTTCAAGTCTCTGAATAATACACAGACTGACTAATTTAATTCTCTCCACAGGACAATCATCTATCTCTCCCTGGTATATGTGCTTGGCCATGTGTTCAAGTCTTTGGGTGCCATACCAATATTGGGGGGCAAAACACTGCACACGTGAGTAAAATCATGGAATCAACTGATACACTTTCCTTACATTAGACAGGTGTATGTCTCAGGAATTCATTGCAGATGACTTTATTACCAGAGATGTTTCTTTATTTTCCAGTCTACAGTTTTGTTAACAAGTTGGTTAAGAAAAAAAAAAAATTATGAGTAGTTTATTTCCTATGTTATCTGAGCTCATTAATTTTCATTAAGTAGGCATTTGAAGAATTGTAGAATGTTTAGTTAGTATCCTCTTTATAAAAACTCTTCAAAGTAAGTAAAACCTCCACACTTTCCATCTTCCTTCACCTGCTCACACATCCATGCATCTGTATTTCATCAGGGATTAAAAAATGTATTTACTTATAATATATTGTAAAAGTCATATTCAAAGCTTGAGATATTTCCATTTATGTGTAGTTCCATATATTCCTATTGGAGAATATATGTCCTTTCCCTCTCCACTTAATTTATTGATGTTTATAGGCCCAGAGATACTTTATAAATTATGATGTGTTAGCAGAGAAGATTACAGTTGTTCAGGAAGCATGAACAGCTGTATTCATGTCATAATGTGTCTATGCATGTATTTATCCTTTAAGTTAGGAATTTTATTTGTAATTTAATAAATACTAGATACCTCCTTGTTGGTGTCCCATAAAAATCATTGGCACTACTTCTATTATGATGCATTTTTAGCATATCCTTAGTAAGGATCCATAAGATTTTTTTTCAGTTGAAGTGTTCCTTTAACTAGAATAAGATTGAGAACCAGTTTGTTAGCTTTGGAGTCTTTTCAGTATCTGCTTCTATCTGTTGCATACAAGGGGTAAATGGAAATACCAGCACAAAATCTTCCATGCAATGCATACTTTCTGGCACATGCTGAAGCAGCACAAAGATGCTAAATGCCCATGAGTATTTATTGGAGTAAAGACAAGAGGAAAGTGCCTACAGGGTAGAACTGGGAGGAGGATTGTTGCCCTTATATACATTTCCCCCATCTACTTTCTATAGTCTATCTCTACAGTTGTTTGATATTGACATGGTTAGCATCCTCACCTCTCCATTTCAGAATCCTATCATTGGTCGGCTTGAGTCTAATAGCTTTGGGGACAGGAGGTATCAAACCTTGCGTGGCAGCTTTTGGTGGAGACCAGTTTGAAGAAAAACATGTAAGAATCCCATTATTTCTGTAATTTTAAGAATGTAGAGGCAGGACTGGCAAATGGCTTAAGTAGTAGAGCACCTGCCTAGCAAGTGTAAGGCCCTAAGTTCAAACCTCAGTACTGCCAAAAAAAAAAAAAAAAAAAATGTAGAGGCAACATCAAAGGGGGATTGCTAAACAGGTAACAATTTGCTAAGATTGAAGTAATTCACAGATTAGATCCTATCTGAATATTTGGGTTCATTGCTGGATACTGGTCATTAATAGAAAAAGTGAAGCACATTCAAAAGAATGTAACCAGGATAATAGATGGACATTTCATGTTAGAAAAGTTTAAAGAAAATGGGGATACTTAGCCTAGTTAAGAAAAGAATCAAGGAGAATATTATATAGTAGCCGTTTATATCTATTGGAAGGATGTCAGTGTTTAAACCTGAGACCAATAAGTGTGAAAGCTATAGGCAGTTAGATGTTTTCTTGGTGAAAGGAAAAACTTCCGTGTTAGAGTTGGAAGCAGTGAGCTTATGTTTACTTGAGAAATTTAAGAAGAAAGCACAATTAACACTGGGAAAAGGAGATCTCAAGTAGTGTAGAAATAATCTAAGCATGTTTAGCTTTGGGATATTTTTTAGCTTTGAGATTTTGAAAAAGGGGGAAATGGCCAGTTAGAATGAAACAGAATGAATTTCTCTAGACAGATTTGCTTGACTGATAATTCCTTCTTTTCATAAATACTTTTAATTTTCAGTGGTGAAATAAAACAATATGACCTATGTAAAAATGAGCCTTTTGAGGAAGCAGTGACAAATAGTCAAGGGAACAGTCTATTCTTAGAGTAGACAACATTTCTGGCTTCCTCTCTTTTGTTCTCACTTTTCTTTTTTGTCTCCTTCATGTATTTAGTCCTTCTTCTATAGCTGTTTATCATATTTATGTTTTCTCTCTTCCTTGCCCTTCTTCCATCTCTTTCTCTTTGCCTTCCCCTTTTCCTCTTCCATTCGTCCAGTCTCTCTGACATAGTGCCTGCTGTCTCTTTTTTGCCTGTGTTTTCTCTCTCTGCATGTTGTGTCTGCTTGTGATTTTTTTTTTCATTTAGATCATTTGGGTAATTTGGGGATTTTTTTTTTTTTTTTTTTTTTTGGTGGTACTGGGGTTTTAACTCAGGACCGCATGCTTGCTAGACAGCTATTTTTATCACTTGAGCCACTCCACCAGGCATTTGTACTCTGTCTGCCCAAAAGGCTATAGATTATCATTACTTGCTGACTTTGGACAAATAATCTCCCTTTGGCAAGGGGATTCTATGTACAATAAACTATACAAATTAGATTAATGGAGTAGATTAAAATGGGAACCAGAAAAGGAAAAAAAGCACATGATAAGCTGAAAATGAAGGACTGGTTGTGCTACTGCATTGGGAAAATATCAGAGGTGCTAGAATGAAGCATAGCAGTACCTAATGAATCACCCATCCACAAATGGACTTGAAGTAGCTGGTTCACAAATATACTTCCAATTAATAGAACAAACCCACTTCTAAGCTCTTGCTGTCCACTTTAAGCCCACTGTCTTTTCTACTCTTTGGCAATCTCTTCAGCACTTGTAGAACTATCCTGCTTGATCAACAGTTTTCTGTACTGACCTATATTCTGGTCCTATTTCTACCATATATATACTCTACAAAATCTATTATTTAATTCAAGTTGTCATTTGTTTAATTAATATAGTCAATAAACATTTATTGAGTCTCTAATATATGCCAGATGTTGTGTTACATACTAGGGATTACAGAAACAAGTAAAGTTTCTGTCCTAAAGGAATTCACAATCCACTAAAAGAAACAGACATTTAAAGCAAAGATATTGATGTTGGAATAGATATGCATTAAACACAAGAGTGACATTGAGGATAGGATGGTCACTTTTGATAGGAAAAGGGTAAAAGAATGTTTGTTAAGGCTGCTTGTACTGGGGTTTAGAAAATGAATAAATGTTTGTCTGGGATCAGTCAGCTGTGTTATTAAATAACTAGTATAATGTTCAGATACCATGAAGACAGTATCTGAATCTGTCACTTCACGTGTATCTCCAGCTGAATCTGAGCATGGATCTAGGAAGCATGTTGCACGATAATTTACCTTGTTTGTTGCAGGCAGAGGAACGGACCAGATACTTCTCAGTCTTCTACCTCTCCATCAATGCGGGGAGCTTGATTTCTACATTTATCACACCCATGCTGAGAGGTTAGGATCCTTTCTTGTGTGGCTGGCTATATAAAGCTTTATTCTAACCAGCTAAAAAGGTATTCAAAACTTCCTAGGATCCTTCTTCTTTTATAAGGGCTTGGAAATATGTGACAATTTCTTTTTTTTTTTTTTTTTTTTCATTTTTCTTTTATTATTCATATGTGCATACAAGGCTTGGTTTATTTCTCCCCCCTGCCCCCACCCCTCCCTTACCACCCACTCCACCCCCTCCCGCTCCCCCCCTCAATACCCAGCAGAAACTATTTTGCCCTTATCTCTAATTTTGTTGTAGAGAGAGTATAAGCAATAATAGGAAGGAACAAGGGGTTTTACTGGTTGAGATAAGGATAGCTATACAGGGCATTGACTCACATTGATTTCCTGTGCGTGGGTGTTACCTTCTAGGTTAATTCTTTTTAATCTAACCTTTTCTCTTGTTCCTGGTCTCCTTTTCCTATTGGCCTCAGTTGCTTTAAGGTATCTGCTTTAGTTTCTCTGCATTAAGGGCAACAAATGCTAGCTAGTTTTTTAGGTGTCTTACCTATCCTCACCCCTCCCTTGTGTGCTCTCGCTTTTATCATGTGCTCATAGTCCAATCCCCTTGTTGTGTTTGCCCTTGATCTAATGTCCACATATGAGGGAGAACATACGATTTTTGGTCTTTTGAGCCAGGCTAACCTCACTCAGAATGATGTTCTCCAATTCCATCCATTTACCAGCGAATGATAACATTTCGTTCTTCTTCATGGCTGCATAAAATTCCATTGTGTATAGATACCACATTTTCTTAATCCATTCGTCAGTGCTGGGGCATCTTGGCTGTTTCCATAACTTGGCTATTGTGAATAGTGCCGCAATAAACATGGATGTGCAGGTGCCTCTGGAGTAACAGTCTTTTGGGTATATCCCCAAGAGTGGTATTGCTGGATCAAATGGTAGATCGATGTCCAGCTTTTTAAGTAGCCTCCAAATTTTTTTCCAGAGTGGTTGTACTAGTCTACATTCCCACCAACAGTGTAAGAGGGTTCCTTTTTCCCCGCATCCTCGCCAACACCTGTTGTGGTGGTGTTGCTGATGATGGCTATTCTAACAGGGGTGAGGTGGAATCTTAGTGTGGTTTTAATTTGCATTTCCTTTATTGCTAGAGATGGTGAGCATTTTTTCATGTGTTTTCTGGCCATTTGAATTTCTTCTTTTGAGAAAGTTCTGTTTAGTTCACTTGCCCATTTCTTTATTGGTTCATTAGTTTTGGGAGAATTTAGTTTTTTAAGTTCCCTGTATATTCTGGTTATCAGTCCTTTGTCTGATGTATAGTTGGCAAATATTTTCTCCCACTCTGTGGGTGTTCTCTTCAGTTTAGAGACCATTTCTTTTGATGAACAGAAGCTTTTTAGTTTTATGAGGTCCCATTTATCTATGCTATCTCTTAGTTGCTGTGCTGCTGGGGTTTCATTGAGAAAGTTCTTACCTATACCTACTAACTCCAGAGTATTTCCTACTCTTTCTGTATCAACTTAAGAGTTTGGGGTCTGATATTAAGATCCTTGATCCATTTTGAGTTAATCTTGGTATAGGGTGATATACATGGATCTAGTTTCAGTTTTTTGCAGACTGCTAACCAGTTTTCCCAGCAGTTTTTGTTGAAGAGGCTGCTATTTCTCCATCGTATATTTTTAGCTCCTTTGTCAAAGATAAGTTGCTTATAGTTGTGTGGCTTCATATCTGGATCCTCTATTCTGTTCCACTGGTCTTCATGTCTGTTTTTGTGCCAGTACCATGCTGCTTTTATTGTTATTGCTTTGTAATATAGTTTGAAGTCAGGTATTGTGATACCTCCTGCATTGTTCTTTTGACTGAGTATTGCCTTGGCTATTCGTGGCCTCTTGTGTTTCCATATAAATTTAACAGTAGATTTTTCAATCTCTTTAATGAATGTCATTGGAATTTTGATGGGAATTGCATTAAACATGTAGATTACTTTTGGGAGTATAGACATTTTTACTATGTTGATTCTACCAATCCATGAGCATGGGAGATCTCTCCACTTTCTATAGTCTTCCTCAATCTCTTTCTTCAGAAGTGTATAGTTTTCCTTGTAGAGGTCTTTCACATCTTTTGTTAGGTTTACACCTAGGTATTTGATTTTTTTGAGGCTATTGTAAATGGAATTGTTTTCATACATTCTTTTTCCGTTTGCTCATTGTTAGTGTATAGAAATGCTAATGATTTTTCTATGTTTATTTTATATCCTGCTACCTTGCTATAGCTATTGATGATGTCTAGAAGCTTCTGAGTAGAGTTTTTTGGGTCTTTAAGGTATAGGATCAGTGACAATTTCTTTTAGTCTTTATTTTTCTGGCTCCAGATAAGGGTTATGGACTAGGCGATGGGAAAAAAGATGATGGCTATGTTCTAGCCGAGCTTAGCTTGAGTATAAGATATCATGATTTAAGATTTGGAGTTACTCTTTTTCTCCCCTTAATTTTCTTCAGGAAGATGTGCATGTTTTGGAGAAGATTGCTATGCATTGGCTTTTGGTGTTCCAGGATTGCTCATGGTAGTAGCACTTGGTAAGTACAGTGGACAAAGGAAACTAACAATTACTTATGCCTACCACTTGAAAATCATCATGTGGGCACTTTATACAAACTATTTCATTCAATCCTCAATAGGTGGTTATTGATCTGGACTACATATAGAACAAATCAAGGGGGCTGAGCATCTATATTTTTAAAGTATCCAGCTGATTCTAACGTGTAGTCCAGGTTAAGAGTATGTATACATTAAGAAAAGGAAAGAAGATAATCCTCCATGATACAAACTAGTTTAGTATCATATGATGCTTATTTTTCTGATAATTAGAGGAACATCCCAATTCTCTGGAACCTTTTAGAGCAACTTTAGGTAGCTATTTTTGCTCGCTCTCATGTATTCCTAGAGAATTTTGTCCTTGAACAAAAGATAAGAGGAGTTTTGGAAAAGTAGTTGGAAAGTAATGCAACTTAGAATAAGTGGCAGTCCTCTTTTACCACTGAGAACACTGTCCTGGAAAGAGAAGGGGGATATGTGGGCTGCTTAGTTTAGGCAAGTTCCCTGAAAGGGGAAACTTGGGTGTGATTGTTTCTAATCAATTGAACCTGGAAACACTGTTCTCCACTCGAGCTTAGGGTGACGCCCCCATGGGAAACATATCCAGTCCAAACACAAAAAGAGCTCATAGGGAAAAGGAGCCCAGACGAACTCAAAGTTTAGTCTGATTTATTTTCTACCCAGGGAGGCTAACAGTGAATATCAGAGTTCCCAAATCCAAGGTATTGTATCAGGCAAAGCTATGATAATATGTTCCTGATTCTTTCTCCCTTCAATGCCCAAATATTTTTCCCAAACTATTTCTTGGTTTTTTCCACCAATTAGTACTATGGCTTCTCCTGGAATCATCAACACAATAATATTTTACATATTGAAATAATTATGAAACTTAAAAGGGTTGCCATATTTAAAATATTTTAAACTATGAAATGTTAATAAGTGCTGTCATATTAGTCAGTTTCTTAATTTTGAGAGAGTGTTGATCATACCCTATTATGTTGATAGTCCTAGATAGATGCTAGGTCACATTGGTGATTTAGACAGCTATGAAGTTCATGCTCTCAAATAAACTTACAAAGCCTCAGTTAGGAGGAGAAAGACAGATAAACATTGAATTTAAAAACACAGAATTCCAAAGTCACAACTGGGAAGAACAGGGAGAGAGCTTATGGGGGCTCCTAGGAGGAACGTCTTGATGAAGACTTTGAGGGTTTTATGTTTGCCTACAGAAATGGGCTCCTTTAGATAGACCTGGTAGGTATGAAAAAGCAACTAATGAAAAGGAAAGAATTGTAAAGTTGATGCAAAGAGAAAACATTGTATCTGTAAGACAAGGTGAGAAATAATATGACATGTTAAAGACCTTAAAGGAATTGAGAAAGAATAAAGAGAGGAAATTGATCAGGACCAGATAATGAGAGGGTCACTTAAAGCCATAGGAATTAGAACTTATTGTGAGAACATGGCGGAGCCTACAAAAAGATTTTGAACAGATGTTAGATTTTCATTTTCAATTGGTTATTCTTGTAATGTGGAGAAAAGATGGGTTTAAGGTGAGTCAAAGACATATATATCTTGATTTACTGCATTTGAGCACTCCCTTAAATTTTGTACTCCAGGTAACTCAGCTCACCTTGTCTTGGAACTAGGTAGAATTAACAAGCCTTGGAATGATTATATATGTTAAAGTGGGGGATAGAAAGTTAATGTTGAATGCCAACTAGGTAAAGCAGAGAGAGAGTGAGGAAGGAATAAGTTTGAGGCAGTGTTTGATGAATTTGGTTTTGGAGATGTGTTATAGATGTCTGGAAGTTTTACTTGTAGTCAACAAATAAATCACTTTGGAAATAACTGGTTTAGGGCTAAGGGACAAAATGTCTATCTAGTTATATATCTGGAGTCATAAATATATGGATAGCAATTTAAACTTGAAAACAAAATAACTAAAATTTAATGAGAGTAAGGTTAAAAGGAAAACAAGGATTCAAACCCCAAGCATACCAGGGAAAGAGAAAAAGGCCCACAAATGAAACTAGGAAGGGATGGGGCAACTGAGGAAAAACAAAGAAAAAAAAGTTGATAAAAAATAAAAAAATCTGGACAGAGAGGAATGAAATAAGTTGGGGAAAATTAAGGATGGATAAAAGTTAGATGACTCTGAGTTCTAGACTGTCAAATGTTACTGGCTTAGTGAGCAAGGCATGCTCAGTGGAGGCTCTGTTAGAGGGCATGCTGGTAGAAATGGGGGAAATCTTGTGAGAAAGAAGTTGCATCTGGAGGGGATCCATGAGGGTAGTCGTCCTGCCTGATTTTAACTAAATTTAGTAAACTTTAACCCCCCCCCCCACTATTTATAATAGTAAATAGTAATACTAGCTCATTGGTCAGTAATTTTAAAATGGCAATTAAGAGTGTGACAGGCTGGGAGGCATTGGCACAAGTCGGACAGTGCCTGCCTTAAGGCAAGTGTGCAAGACCCCTGGTCAAACCTTAAGTACCACCAATAAACAAAACAAACAAAAACAAAGATTGTGGGTTTTGTAGAAAATTAGAATGAAACTAGTACGGAAATAGTATTGGAGTAGAATTGTTTTTTGTGGGAATTGATGATACTGTATAGAGTATATGATAATCTGAAAAAAGAGAAATGAAGCATTGGGTTAGAACAAAGGTTGAGTTGAAGGCTTCCTTTTGAGATAGGCCATGTGATTTTCACCCTCCATTTCCAGTAATGTGTAGTCAATGTGTGATTAAGAATGGAGTGAATGAAGCCGGGTGCAAGTGGCTTCACAACCTGCAATGCCAGCTATGCAGAAGCAGACATCAGGAGGATTCAATGGTTTGAAGCCAGCCCAGGGAAATAGTCATGGACCCTATCTTGAAAAAATCTTCACAAAAAAGGTCTGGTGGGAGATGGCTCAAGGTGTAGGCCTCAAGTCAAATCCTAGCTACCACAAAAAAAAAAAAAAAAAAAAAAGAATGAGTGAATGAGATGCTTTTTTTTTTGTTTTTTTTTTTTTTTCTTTTTCTTTTATTATTCATATTCATATGTGCATACAAGGCTTGTTCATTTCTCCCCCCTGCCCCACCCCCTCCCTTTCACCACCCACTTCCGCCCCCCTCCCTCTCCCCCCCCAATACCCAGGAAAAACTATTTTGCCCTTATTTCTAATTTTGTTGTAGAGAGAGTATAAGCAATAACAGGAAGGGACAAGGGTTTTTGCTGGTTTTTTGCTGAGATAAGGATAGCTATACAGGGCATTGACTCACATTGATTTCCTGTGCGTGGGTGTTACCTTCTAGGTTAATTCTTTTTGATCTAACCTTTTCTTTAGTTCCTTTGGGTCCCCTTTTCCTATTGGCTTCAGTTGCTTTTAAGTATTGCTTTAGTTTCTCTGCGTTAAGGGCAACAAATGCTAGCTAGTTTTTAGTTTTTAGTTGAATGAGATGCTTTTTAATGATTTAAGAATACAGATTTTTGGACGTGAAAGAAGGCCAAGCGTCAAAAATTGCTTGTTTTATGGCAATTTCTAGTTGTATAACTTCGTACAAGTTGCTTAATTTCTTTTAATTTCAATTTGTGAACATTTAAAGTGGACGATAGTAGTATTATTTTTGTTAAGTTAGATTCAGTTGAAAGTATGCAAAGTGCTGCTTAATTGTTACTTATAAAAATAACCTAATTAATTGTAACGATACTAATGAATTTGCAAAGGCCTTCTCTGATAGGAATTTGATTTTATTAGTAAATCCTAAACTTTGTTTTAATTGGTGGCATCAGACTAAAGAGGAAGAATTAAAAGAAAAGAGAGTTGGTAGCTATTTTAGAAATCTAGAGTAAAGGTGTAAAAGTCCTGAAAAAGGGCCGTAGCATGGTAATGAAAAGAAGGGCAAATGGCAATATACGTGAAGAGAAAAGGATTTCAACAAAGGTTGGTAACCTATCAGGTATTGGGTAACTGGACTAAGAGAATAAAGAAGTCAAAGATGACTTCCAAGTCTGCGGATCACGTAAATTATCAACAATTGACCATTTAATCTTCTCTTGGCTCCTGTGAAGTATGGGCAGTGTAAGTCAGTTCCATTTATGAAAATTTATAGTTTCAGAAGTCTGCCCTTTGCACTGACATACACAAGTATTAAGTGAAAAAAAGCTAAGACCAATTATTTGTTTATCATCTGCAGCTGTGGTTTGAATGGAAGCAAAATGTTACAGAACCACCCCCGAAGGAAACATAGTGGCTCAAGTTATCAAAATGTATCTGGGTAAGCTCCTTGAATTATTTACCTGCCGTCTTCAACAAATAGAAAAGAGCTGGGCCCACGGTGGCTCAAAGCCTGTAATCCTAGCTACTCAGGAGGCAGAGAATCAGGAGGATCATGGTTCAAAGCCAGCCTGGGGCAAATAGTCACGAAACCCTATCTCGAGAAAATCCAAAAGGACTGGTGGAGAGGCTCAAGGTGTAGGCCTTGAGTTCAAACCCCAGTACTGCAAAAAAAGACAAAAAAGAAGAAGATGCTATGGCTGAGAATATGGTTCTTCAAAAATGAGCATATGTTTTTCTTATAATTTCTGTTCTAATTGCCTGACAAACTGAGATTGATTTCTTTCTCTTGCCTCTACTTCATCAAAAGCAGTAAAATAATGTAATCAGTTTTTAAATTGGCAAAAACTTCTCAGTGCTACATATACGATGCTAATAGGAAACAAGGAAGATAAATTTATATCTTAAATATTCTGAAATTCAATGCCTTGGGTAAATTGAGGGAAAGTTAAATACCATACTGAGGAAGTATGGGGTTTGAGGGAAGGATGATAAGTTGAAACAAGGGGATGGTTTCTCTTCATCTCTCTTTTATACCTACACATTCCTAGTTGCTGTTTCCAAACCGCTTCTCAAAAACCGTTCTGAGGACATTCCAAGCGACAGCAACTTGGTTAGACTGCGGCAGCTGAGAAATACCCAGTAAGTTTGGAAACTGCAGAAAATATCTCATGGCTCTGTGGAATATTTCAAACTGGTTTTGCCTCTTGGTGCATCTGACCCTTTTATTACTGGTTTTAGCCACTTCTAAGTAAGAAAACCCACATTTAGAATTTCTGGCAATGTCTCTTGCCCTTCTTTCCTCCCTGTAGAAGCAGCTCATTTTGGATGTGAAGGCATGACTGGATACTGTTCCTTTATATCCCATTGCCCATGGCTGGGCTCTTTGGATCAGCAGGTAGAAATTATTCTTTTGAAGCTGGACCTTCCTCCAGTCACTTTCCTCTCATAGGAAAAAGGGCATTTCTCATAATAGCATATGTCAACCTGAGGGGCGCGTCAAAAGATGGACGCTTGCAAGCCACTAGGATGAATGGGAACTTGGTGAGTAAAGAGACTTCCAGAGAAGGCTATATTCTTCATATCAAGAAAAATTCGATTTATTGGATTTTACCTGCAAACTAACTTAAGATCATTAGAGAGGTTGCATTTAACCTGAAGGCCTGAGAGGCGTAGAGATAATGAAAGATAAAACTAAGAAACGAAAAACAGAATTTTTCTTTAGAAATCAGCGACATAAGTAGAAGGAAATATACCTCACGGAGGACTGAGAGGACAGCAAATGAAATGAACAGACCTGACTGCTGAATTTTCTTCATGTAAGCCCATCCTAGGACATAGCAGGGACAGGTTGGTTGTGCTGGGCACACAATCCATCCTATATCACAGGACAGGATTGCATCAGGGACCTTGGAAATGCGGATAGTTTTATGTGGATTATTGGAAGAATGGGAAGGATTGTCACATTCTTTTCTGTTTTCCAATTTCATCTTTCAGTCCACTCCTGCCCACTATCTGCTTTTTAATTGTTTCTACATTCTAGGTTTTGTATTGTAGTTCTGAGAACACAGGTTGGAGTAATACCAGGGTCATATTAACCAGTCTTACTTTGAGCCTGCCAAATACAATTTACCGCTCTCTTCCTGTTGGTGCTCAGGACATTACCATCACGGTCCTCTTTGACCCTTTAGAGAGCAACTTTTGGAAAACTATGTGTCAGTGGAGTCTTTTACCCAAACCCACCTGCCTCGTCCTTCCCATAGTACTACCTGAACTGAAGTTGTTGAAATTAATAAAAACACAGCAAGCTATTCTCTCTCAAGTAAAAAGGAAAAATGCGAGGTATAGTAAGGGCTGATATCCCTTATGCTGAAAAGCTGAGTCCTAACTACTCCAAAACTAATTTTTTTCGAAGTACATGACATGATATCACAAATGGAAAATTCCATACCACGAATCTTTGTATTTCATGCACAAAATTATTACAAAATACTATGTTTTACATTAATTCTCAAATTGAAGTAGTCTTGAATTGTAAATGAATTCATGTTTATACTCGGGTCTAATCCTCCAAGATTTCTCATTTGTACATATGCAAATATTTTCCAAAATCCAAAGCATTTTTATAAGAATTACTTCAGCCTATACATAAAAAAGAATTTCTCCCTTGAGCCCATCTTGCCCTCAAACAAACATAGCCAGAAAGCCAATCTAAGTCTTTTCCCAGGCCCAAATACCCTTAAAAGGGGAAAATAGAGTTCCTAGACAAAAATCCTGTTGAATTTTCTTGTTAAAAAACCTTTTACTGATAATTACCCAGATGGTTTATCTAGGCTTTTCTTGTCTTGCTGCCAACCATCTAAATATGATTAATGTAATTTTCAGGTTTTTTTGTGCTTCAACCGGACCAGATGCAGGTAGGAGACTTCTCTATAGGGTGCAAAACGGTATCTCTCTCCTCATTTATATCTCTCCCTGCATTATTCAGGCTTAACCAGCCTTAATCTGTTGCTTTTTCTTCTTATATTGCGAATGAGGAGGACCAAGCATAGAGATGAAAACATTCTTCTTTTAAATGTTCTACTTCTCCTTCATTCCCCTGTTAAATAAGTATCTTTAAGAAGCTCCATCCAGGGAGAGTGAGTTTGGAAAGCAAAAGCTACAGTATGATCACGGATTTTTTTTCTATGTCACAGTGAATATAGTGAAATATTATCAAAGTAAACTTAAGCCTTTGTTGTGTGAGTAATAAAGTCTGAATCTCTCTTTATAATGACTCCCATTTCTTCTTTTAGCTCTGCGTTTCAACCCTTTCTTCTCTCCTTCCTTTTTATTGGGCTTTCTCTTCCAGTGGGAGAGAAGGACTCGCCAAATCAGCTCAGAAAGAAAACTAAGTTCTTGTGGGATATTTGGAAGCTAAAGGTTGCTATGCAAGATAGAGCCTTGGGTGAAAGGCAGGCTCAAATTAGAGACTTTAAGCATAGGGATCAAGAGCTAGAAGCTAAGAATAAACACTTTATTATAGGTAACTTGAAGCTTCTCACTTCCCATTGGGTATGCAGCTGACTATGCTTTCAACTTTGCACTAATTGATTTTTCCCAGAGCTCTGGATAAGCATGTCCTGGGTGAATATTGGAAAACTGCATCCTTTGATAAAAGGAGGCTTTTGTTCTGTATAAAGGAAAAATGAATATATCTTAATAAATGGATTTTCTGCCCTAAATAAACATCTTCTAAAGAATGTATCTGGGCAGGTTCTCAAACATGTATTCACTATGTCAATTTAAGAAGGACTTTGGTCTCTTGGAATTCTCAAGTTTTCATTGGTTTCAATTGAATAACGTAAGATTACAAATAAAGGAGATGTTCACGCAAACAATTACATGCCAGATAATTGAACAAATGAAGCATGCTACAGAGATTAAGGACCTATACATCATCCTAGGACTGACTTGAGCCTCATAAATATGTCATACACAAAGGACTAGTACTCTTTCTGCCCACATTCCAGCCTACTGGGATGTAGATTTTAGTTCTTTGCTTTTCTGCTTTGTTTAAATAAATCTTTCTATAAATTTCTCATTCTAAACTAGACCTTCATCCTTAAATTCTTATTCTGTTGATTGATTCAAGAACTCGGTTCGGCATCGGTTGGTCAGTTTGAAAACAAACTCCCTTTGTCACAAGCTCAGCACCCTGGTGAGGTAATGCTTTTCTGGAACCTGCCTGGGTTGAAACTGATCCTATTTGCAGTGACAGATGTAAAGGGATGAGAAAATGTGGATTCATTCTGTACCTACGAAAGTGAAAGTGTGTATGGATGTGAGAAGGACTACACCAAGCATATGATGCCATTGAGCTCACACTCACATAGGAAGAACACTTGTAGCTAATCCTTTTTCTTGGTGTTGCCAGCTGCTAAATCCCTTTGCTGGTTCTTATACTTCATCCCTTTGTGTGACCTGTCATTTATCGTTGATCGCTAAGTGTGGAATTAACTTCTCGTAAGTCGCTCCAGTATGTTGTTGTAATTTACTTGCAAACTGACTAAATTCTTTTCCCAGTTTGATAAAGTTATTATCTGTATGTTTGACTTCATGTGATTAGTCGGATCTGTCATTTATCTGCGTCTACTTTTCGCTTGTTGGAAATTATGAATACAGAAAAGTGAGAAATAAGAGCTAAATTAGAAATCAAAGCCAATGCTGCAGGACTTAAATCTGTGATGTTGGGAAGGGGGAAGATTCTTAGCTCATGGGGCAGTAAAAAAAAGTATGTGAGATCAGGTCTCCTAAGCCAACTTGCTGTTTTGTCCTTTAAATGGTTGCCTCTTCAAAAAAGTCCCAACAGCCTTTCCCTGACAACTAACTCCTTGTATCCTTGTTGCCCCATGAAACAAACAAGACCTGGTAGGGCTGAGGACAGAATTGTTCCCACTTACTACTTCCCTTTATCCAAAGTAAGGGTCCAAGCTTCTTTCATTTCTGATTTAATAGCAATTTAGTTTTTGATGATAAAGTGCCTACCATTTTACCACATCAATGGCCATTTTTCAGTTATCATTGTACAGCTATTAGGAGAGTTCAGAACTAGTGACATGCAATCTAAATTAAGCATACCATCTTTCTCTTAAGAGTTTACTGTTAGTAGGAATTAGGAACATATACAAGGATAACATATACAAGAACATATGGCAAGTGCCCTAGGAAGGAAAAATGGGAAATGCAGAGAACAAAGAGAAGTAAATGAGTCCTACCTACTGCCAGTGCCAACAAGACCTCTTAAGAGGAAAATGACTGAAGCATCGTATAGCACCTGGGCAAAAAATAGATAATCAAATGGAATCTGGTTGCATTGCTGTGGTTTTTGGATTACAACATAAAGCTAGAAAACCATTCATAAGCAAAAGATATGGTGGGGAGAAGGTATTCATTACAGAGAAGAGCAGTTCAATGTCACTGCAGTAAAGGAGAAAAAGAATGTTATGAAGGAGAGTTCTATAAATACTTTGAAGTATAATGAGACTAATTAAATTGTCTTTAATGGTAGCTGAGGAAGTTTGGGATTTTATGCTCCAGAACATCTGAAAGGATAGAAATAATTATGTATCTCCTTTCCTTTGCAGGCACTTAGGAAAAGGCTTTGGTATGATCCTAGCAGTCTGGATTTGCAGTTGCAGCAGTTGTAGATTAAAAATAAATGTGAGTTGAATAAATCTTAACTCCAGAAAGTCAGGTCCATTATCTATATTGTTTATTCTTACAAATTTTTTCAATCTTAATTGTTCATGACCTGCACAGAACCTTTCGTATGGGAGGCATAAAGTAAGTGTTCAATGAAAATGGAGTTCCTTACCTGGCATTGGTCTTCCTATATGGAACTTGGTGTTTCTCTCCTCCAAACTACCTTTATAGTTTTTCTAAGCCAAAATGCTCTTCAAAGAGAGAAAACTCCTCTTGGCAAAAAGACTAACGTGTAAACATGCTAAGAATGTGATCTCACTTTGTACCTGAAGACGGTTATTTATTACTTATTCCAATAAATGTTATATATCCTAAGGAATGACCCAACCCAAGCCCAGGTGGCCCAAGGGAAAGTTTCCTACAAGTCTTGAACCGTGGCAGATGATGAAGGAAGGTGACAATGCTGGGAAAAATGGGAAAATATTCTCTATTTGTTGGAGTCATCAAATCCTTTCAGGTGAGTTATGGACCTGAGTGAAATAGAATAACTTTATATGCTGTATAGCGACGTGATTTTTCTTAATTGTATCAAAATCACCTTCCATGATTAACATCAGTAGCATGATGTTAATGAGGAATAATAGTCTATCCTACATAAAATAGTTCATCTAAGTACTTCCTTAAATAAATTGACTTTTTAGAATTATTATCCTGTAGTGGACATCTTTACTCACAAGTCTTTATTCCACACCTCTCATTATTTCCTATGGATATATTCCTAGAAAATGTGAAAACTATTAAAGGAAGAAGAAAATTACTAGTACCTTGATGAGGTCACCACCCCTGAGATGCTATGAGATTGTGATGACAAGCTGGGGTAGAAGGTCGAATGTAACAGATTCTTCATTCTACAGAAAACAACACAATATTCCAAATGCACTGAAAACCAAAAAGCCAGGACTTGAACATCTACCTAAGTATTCACATTTGTCTGTCCACAACTGACATTCTGTTAGTGCGAGAATTAACTGGGTAAGTTTGATATTCATGAAGAATAGAAAGTATTTCCAGCATGATTGGTAAGTTGAGGAATGATCTAAGTTCCAAGTTGTCATCTCAAAGTAAAGATCATTGGCTCATCAAATCTTACCAAGGATCTATGATCAAACATTCTATTATAAGGCTCCCTTTTGTCAGCTCTTACTGAATTTTTTACTTTTTTCGGTTTGTAGGTAAGGATTGTAGCAAACAAAAACCAGCCAATGGATCCAGCCATCAGGTTTGGAGCCAAAGCAGACCCATGGCACTCCATTCTCTGAATCTTGGGTTCTTTTGATCTTTGGGGCTCAGATGAAAAGGCCTATATTCTACTTAATCTGAACAGAATTATCTCCCCTAGGCACTGGTGCCTAAAGGCATTTTTCTAAGGAACAGGTAGAGGCAGATTAGTTTTGTTTCTTCTGTGGAATTTGAAGATGATGCTGTATCTTTGTAGCCCTTGGGCTCCACTGCAAAATATTTTTGTTCTCTGGAAATTCTTATCCATTTATCTTGCTCTCAGAAAAAAATAATTGAGTAAATCTTTCTCTGTGATAACCAGAGAGAATTCAGAAGTGTTGCAAATATCCCTCTCTTCCATTATTGGCAGTTGGATATCTACCTTTTAACAGTATAGTTTTATTATAAAAAAATCTTATAGAAGTATTATGGTATAGTTCACATTTGGTATAAAAAATAGTTAGTTATTGAATTCAGATTAAGGCTAAAGTTCTCACCAGATGGCAAGAACAGATAAAGAGATTGGAGCAGAGAATTACCTGACCTCTGTGGCAGGTTAATTTAATTTGACTTAAAATAGGGAGCATAGCATTGCTCGGCCACCAACATTAGGGCAGTGCTATTCAGAATAGCATTTTAGAACTTTTTCAGTAAAAACTTCACTGAAGGGTAGAATAATCACAATTAACTGCTTTTTGCGATATGCTTCAGAGAGGCAAAACAGCTCAGAAAATAAGTAAGCAAGAATGAGGCTAGGACCCTAATAGGCTCACAAAGTGGTTTTTGTAAAGTCAGTGCAGGATTATATGAAGGCCAGAATCAACATTTAGGACTGAAGAAACTGTCTTTTTATATCCTTTGGGCCAGGACCAAGGCTAAATCTATCCAAGAAGAAGTGTTCCAAAACCCATCCTTAGGGAAAATCTAGATCCAAGGTTCAAGAAGACTGGAAAACTGGATTCTGGAAATGTCCAAGATTTAGTCTGGTGACTCAAAACAATTATTAACAATCTACTTATGAGCTGGGGCCTAAGTTTTACATGAGTCATTTATGAAGATAAGATATTGCTTATATCGTAAATACTATCATATTTTTACTATATATAAGTATAGTTACTTTTCTTGGGTTAAAGGTCTCAGTTGATTAAATTCGGACCTTAAGAGGGAAAGAAATTGGATGTTGGCTAAACTAGATTAGAAAAGAAGATCAGATTGGCCATGGGATATTATGGTAGTGTATGCATTCTAGAATAGAGATCTGGTGAGGATGTGACAGATAACAAGTTAATACTCCAGAAAGAGTCAGGTAGGAAAGCTAAAGTCTACTAGCTATTTCTTACATGAAGCTCATTCATATTGTCCAGCTGAACAATATATATACGGTACCTTTATGTGCCAGTCAGTATTCTAAGGCACTAAAGATAAGTGCATAAACAACACAAAAAGGATCCTACCTTCTTCTAACCAGCGTCCCTTTGGGTGTGTGTCTGATATGTAAAATAATTTTCTCTACCCTCAGGTTTATTAACACTTTGCATAAAGATGTCAACATCTCCCTGGGTACAGATGCTCCCCTCAATGTTGGTGAAGACTATGGTGTGTCTGCTTACAGAACTGTGCCAAGAGGAGAGTAAGAGCATTGCCCCTATGGACATTTCACTTTTATCAGCAATTGTTTTTTAAATGCTATCTTTGAATACAAGTTGGGGACTTAGTTATATCTGAGCTAACTTTAAGTTTTAAATTCTGGCTCCTTCCCTCAGGCCCATCTTTTCTCTGCACCTATATATTGAGCTCATGATACTTACGATGTTTAGTCAGTATGATCTATCTCTGTAAGGTTCACAAAATTTATTATTCTGTCTGGTTAATATCTCCCATTTGTTCCTCATTACATAGAATTTAATCTCTCAGGCTCACTGTTTCATGCTGTTCCTTTAGATAATAAGATTTGTGTGAATAAATTTCCCTGTGCCAGAATCTACAAAGGAAGGTGATTTGCACCTTCTTTATTTAGGTTTAGGGAAAAAAAAAACAAAAAAAACTGACAGGCAATAAAGAGCTCAGATAAGGGGCAGAAACCTAGTATGAAAATCTCATGGCTAGAAGCATCTCTCTTTAAAGAGAAAATGGTGGCTTCATTGCTTTCCTTACAGTCAGTAGAGAATTGTGATCATTCTCTCCTGGATATGGGAGTTCTTTTCTAAGCCATACTGCTTATTCTAACCTGAACTCATCCTGTTTCAGATATCCTGCAGTGCACTGTAAAACAGAAGATAAGGACTTTTCTCTGAATTTGGGTCTACTGGAATTTGGTGCATCATATGTATTTGTTATTTCTAATGTAAGTAGCTCACAGCCAACCCCCCTCCTTTGTCTCTCTCCCTTTCTCTTTGCATTTGTACAGACACACACACACATGTGCATGCATGCACCCACACACACATTCTGGTGACAGGTTCCTTGTATTTGTCAGATTTTCTATCACTGTGACACATAATTGAGAGAAATAGATTAAATGGAGGAAAACTTTCTTTTGGCTCATGGTTTCTGAAGTTTCATTCGACGGTCAACTGTCTCCATTGGTTTTCGGCCTGTGGCAAAGTAAAAACATCAAGGTGGAAGGACATGGTAGAGGAAAGCTACTTACTTCACAGTGGGCAAGAAGCAGAGAGAGAGCAGCAGAGGAAGGGGTTGGGGACAAGATATACCCTTCAGAGGCATGCCTCTAGCGAACCCACAACTTCCATACCCATGGGAGGCACTTTCAAGCACTTCTGAATTGTCCATTCAAATTTTGAATCCACCAACAGATTAGAACTTTAATTAGGTAAAGCTTTCATGATCCAATCACTCCCCAACAGCCCCACTTCTGAACATTGTATTGGGGACCAAGGCTTCAACACATGACCCTGGAGAGGACATTCATATCCAAACCACAATAGTCCTATGGGACTTTAGAAAGACTACTAGCTCTATAAGGGCTCTTAAGAGATATAACATTAGCATATATTTAGCCATCACTATGAGATCACATGGTCTGCTGCAGTCTCATTATGGCCCTAAGAAACTGAAAATTATTTATGTGAAATTACATTTGTCTTCTTGGTTGGCTCCATATAAAAGTCTCCTAGCTCCCTAGAAATTTGATCTGGTCACCTATCACAGTCTGCGGTACCAAAACTTATAATACATGTTAATCTTCATATAAAGTTTGGGAATTAGTTAACTATAGTCCATCAAAACCAATTGTCTCAGCAACCAGATCTGTGTACTTCTGAATTTTATCTTCTTCAAGGATTAGTCCCTTTATCAATATATAGTGCATTTCTTTATCTGTTCTGACTAATATAGACTTGGAGTCTGTTTTATCAGATCTGAGAATGTATACTTCAGCTTGCTTTTGGTTTCCACTTGCTTTGTATATCTATTCCATCCCTTCACTTTCAATCTGTGTGTGTCTTTGCTAGTGACATCTTTCTCTTACAGACAAAAATCTAGTTGGATCTTGTTTTGCAATCCAATCAGCCAATCTGCATCATTTAATTAGAGACCATTTACATTTAGGATTATTATTGAAAGGTGTTTGTTGATTACTATAATTTTGTTGGTTTTTTTTTCCAGGTTGATTTGAGTACTATTTGTTTTTTTCTTTCTCCCTTGTTCTTCTTAGGAGTTTGCTAGTTTACTGAGTTAAGCATGTTTGATTCTTTTATTCTTCTCATTTGTTAACTGTTCCTCCCTGAAATTTATTCTTTTCTGACCTCTTGAATTTATGACTGTCATTCTTCATCATCTATGCATCAGATTGCATTAAGTATCTTCTACAATGTTGGCTTAGTGATCATGAATTGCTTTAGTTTGCACTTATCTTGAAAGGTCTTTATTTGTCCATTGATTTTAAAGGAAAACTTTACTGAATATAACCATCTTGTTTGGCAGTTATTTACTTTCAGAGCTACACTTTCGTGGCTTTTAGTGTTTCTCCTAGAGATTTGATATAATTATAATAGATTTGCCTTTTAAAATAAGTTAGCTTTTTTCTTATACAGCTTTCATTACTCTTCCTTTGTTCTGTAGTGTTAGCATTTTGACTACAATGGATGGAGAGGCTCTTTTCTTCTAGACATGTCTACTTGGGGTTCTATATGCCTCCTGAATTTGAAAGTCCATATCTTTTATAGATTTGGGACATTTTCTTCTCTGATTTCATTGAATAGGTTTTCTATGTCTTTAGTTTGTATCTCAACTTCCTCTGCCCCATTGATTCTTAAATTAGCTCTGCTGATCATGTCCCAGAATTCTTGAAAGTTGTGGTTGTGTTTATTTTCTTTATAGCTATCTCAATGTAATATTTTTCTCAATTTTGTCTTCAATCCCTGATATCCTTCTTCTGCTTGATCTAGTCTGTTGGTGATGCTTTCCAGTGGTTTTTATTTGTCATTTTTTCCAGAATCTCAGTATCTTTGCTGAATTTTTCATTCATGTTGTTGCCTTTCTAATCCAGATCTTGAATTGACTTCCTTAATTCATTCATTTGTTTGTTTCAATTCCCTTTGAAGTCATTGGTCATTTTTTAAAGTAGAATTTTGAATTATTTGTCTGACATCTCAACCATTTCAGTACCTTTCTATTCAGTTATTGAGGAGTTAAGAGTTTTTGGAGGAGTCATACTGACTTTCTTTTTCCTATTTATTGTGTTTTTAGGTTGTGATATGTGCATCTATTAGGATGAATATCTCTTTCAATTTGATTTGGTTGACTTCTTAGTGAGCAGTCTTCTTTTGAGATCTCAATCTCTAGTACTACAGAAAGAGGAGAAAACAAACTGCTGTGACCGCAATAACTGTGTCAAGTTGGTGCTGCATGCAGGCTGAGGGCTGGGATGTCAAGGTTCGATTGACGGTGTCAGTATTGCATTCATGTTAGAAGCTTCCCTTCTTTGCATATATGGAGCTGCTGTTGGCCCCAATGACTTTGCACTCTGTGAACTGGGTAGCTTCCCTCTTGCTCCAGACCATCCCCCCTAGTTTGAGCACATATGGCAAATATCCAAGCCTAGGGGTATATCCCCAAGTACATGGAAGAGGGGTACAACAGAGCCCTGAGATCTACAGTGGAGGCAGAGAACTGATGAAATGCAAATACAACAATCTGCCTGCCAATCTCAGAACTTTCAGATCTTTCCAAGTAGAAAATCACCATCACCCTGTGGGAGAGAAGAAACTGGGGAAAGAGAGCAGACTGCTGGACATGGATTCAGAGCTCTGAGTCCTGCCTGGCAGCAACTACATTCAGCAAGGAGATATAGCTTAGGTGACTTAGCAGTCCTTTGACTACAGGTTGAGGTTGGATCTTTTAGTCTCTTTGGTGATACACAGGTGATAGGGCTCACTCCTCATCACAGAAGAGGAGTCACTAACCCCTGCACCCTTCACAGCTCAAGTTCCTCACTGCCCAGATTTCTTAGTGGGTCCTAGTCTGACCCTTTTCTTCCCTACAACCACCTGTCCTGGCTGTGCCAACCCAAACACTGTGAGGGTTGTCCCCAGGTTGCCTGACTTGCAATTATTCCTTGTTTATAGGTTCCCAGAGCATCTCAGTCTCAGTCCATAAATCCTCTCCTAAGATGGTCCCTGGCTATAGTTCTCTGAGATATGTGACAAAATGGATTTCTTCTCTAATGCTGTTCTGTCATGCAGTAAGAATCACTGTTGTATTAAATCCCTGCATTGAATTTAAGATTTGTGAGAACTGATGGCTTGTCCTGTGACTAGGACTGGTAGTCTGTCACCAGGGCCACCTGGTTACCTTGAGTTTATGTTTTAGCTTCTCCTCCATTCCAGAGAGCCAGGGTTGATACTTCAGATTGTTTCCTACTTCGATCAGAGTGGCCTTTCTGTTTTTCCATAGCTTTTCAGCTGTATCATTGCTTCTTTCATGATTCACAATGCTCTTTCTCTCTTTGGAATAAAGTCTGTCTTTTGTTACCCTGACTCTTCTCACCCATGGAGTCACACAGAGGAAACTTCTATTCCACCATGGTACTCTGGATGTCCTATTTCTGAATTTTAATTTCGGTGTCAATCTTAAATTTAATTCCATTATTTCATCATTTTTTATACTGTTAAAGATAAAAAGAGTAAATAAGAAAGATGGAACATTTTAGAGATGTGATGAGAATTCAATCTATAAAATTCTATTTTAATGATTAATTAAATTGATCCCTTTGATTATATATTTTATATAACAAGCCTATTGAGATATAATTCACATACCATAAAATTCACCCATTTAAAGTATAAAATGGTTTTTAAAATTAATGTGCTAATATGAATTTAATATATAAAGAATATTCAATAATATATGTTCAGTGGTTCCTAATATATATATGGTTTTAAACATTTTTAATCACCTCAAACAGAAACATTATACCCATTAACAGTCATTCCCTATTTCCCTCCAAACTATTAGTCTTAGGCAACCACTAGTCTACTTCTTATCTACAAAATTTCCTATTCTGGACATTTCATATAAATTAATTCATATAATAGTTGCCTTTGGTTTTCATCCATGTTGTCATGTGTATCCATAGTTCATTTCTTTGTTTTTTTTTAATTTTAATTTTATTCATATGTGCATAAAATGTTTGGGTCATTTCTCCCCCTTTCCCCCATCCCTTCCTTTACCCCCCCCCGCCCCCTCCCTCTTCCCCCCTATCCCCTTGCTACCCGGCAGAAACTATTTTGCCCTTATCTCTAATTTTGTTGAAGAGAGAGTATAAGAAATAATAGGAAGGACCAAAGGTTTTTGTAGTTGAGATAAGGATAGATATACAGAGAGTTGACTCACATTGATTTCCTGTGCATGTGTGTTACCTTCTAAGTTAATTCTTCTTGAACTAACCTTTTCTCTAGTTCCTGGTCCACTTCTCCTATTGGCCTCAGTTACTTTAAAGTATCTGCTTTAGTTTCTCTGCATTGAGAGCAACAAATGCTACCTAGTTTTTTTTAGGTGTCTGACCTATCCTCATACCTCCCTTATGTGCTCTCGCTTTATCATGTGATCAAAGTCCAATCCCCTTGTTGTGTTTGCCCTTGATCTAATATCCACATGTGAGGGAGAACATACAATTTTTGGTCTTTTGGGCCAGGTTAACCTCACTCAGAATGATGTTCTCCAGTTCCATCCACTTACCAGCGAATGATAGCATTTCATTCTTCTTCTTGGCTGCATAAAATTCCATTGTGTATAAATACCACATTTTCTTGATCCATTTATCAGTAGTTGGGCATCTTGGCTGTTTCCATAACTTGGCTATTGTGAATAGTGCCGCAATAAACA